CTTGCATCCGATTTAACGATTCCTACACTTGATCATTAAAACCATTCAACGAATAACCCGCGAGCAAGTAATTCCAAGACAACACATCTTTGTCACTCATTTCATCGAAAACTCTCCTCTCATTTCTAACATTCTCAATTTTCATGTTCATATCAACAAGAGAGGTTCCTACACTAACATGGTGCACAAGTCCATACTTGTTCACCCACTGTCCCATCAAAGCAACCAACACAAACATTCAAAACACAAGGCATGGTTAGCCCATCAAGAGATAAACCTGAACAGTGAAGGGACAAAAATAGGTGGATGGCTTCTTGAGTTTGGCCATTGTGAGAATAACCAAATAACAATTGGTTATATTGTTTGCGGTCACTAAGGGGAGGTTGGTAGAATAGTTGTCGTGCAATGCGAGGGTCAGTGTCCCATAAAAAGAATTATTTTAAACTAATAAATAAGCAATCAAAACACATACCCACCACCAATGTCAATTCCCAAAGCAACAAAAAAAGAAACTTTTCTATGGAAACCCTCGTAGGGTTGGGGTGCATTGCCGAGGTACAATAGAAACATAAAAAATGTTATAAAAAAAACCTAAACAAAGATAATGTGAGAAACTAATGGTACACTGGCAAAAAAAAGTCATAAAAATTTGGGTGCACACAATGGAGGAGATGCAAGAACCTTGTAGTGTTGCAAACCATGGTGAAGGAGACAAAAGAATAGTAGAATTAGAGTCACACGATTTTTGAAGGAAACAAGTAGGTGTGCACTGTTGCGGATGAATAGAAGAGGAAGTAACATGGAACATGAATAATGAGTGTGTAGAATAGGTGTGTAAGGTTTTTTATTTTTTATATATATTATTATTATTACAAATATAAGGCATTTGGAGCTCTCTATCTATAAGAAAACATTAGGATATTTTTGTTTTTCATTTTAAAATTGTAAATAAATAAAAGACTATGTGTTTTTATTTAAGCATTGTCTATTAATAACCCAATACATGACACTTAACTATCCAAATGCTCTTTAATGGTATAAATCAACTAAAGACATTCTCACCACTACTATATATGCTAGTTTAATCTCATTATTAACATACGATTCCTTCATAACACAACTCTCTTTATTTGACCAAATTATTATTATTTACACTCGACACTTTTTTCCTTCTATACTAAAATATTCATCATGGTCAACTTCAAGAGTACTAACAATATAAGGTACTCTTAGCATACATTGTTTTATGTCTCTTATTATAACATACTCTCCCTTTACATTAGTAAGGTCAAACCTTTTCTCTAAAATTACCCCAACTAGAACTTACCCACCCTTCTCACTCCTTCAAGGTAACCTAACACACATACTAAATCATATCCTACATTTTCTCTATCAACCAAGATCGATACACATGTGTAAAAGATCATTTACACATAACTTAAATATCTCATCAATTCAAATCACAAATCATAGTTTCAGTTATCACATATATACAATACAACATTAGTCATAAATATAACCACACACACTTAACATCATTACAATTTAACACATGAATTGCAACAAAATGCATATGCATACAATGCTCCTAAATCTTTATCCATGCAAATGTGGTAACATTTCAAAACAACTTTCTCATAAAAGTATCTTAGGTGTACTTGTAGATGACGAGTCAACACCTAACACTAATACGTTGATTTAAATTAATGAAACAAAATATTAAATAGTTTCAATTTTTTAAAGAATTTGTAGACTTGATCTATGTATTAAGAACTTTAAATTCAACGATTGGATCATTGAAATTTGATGTAGAATATGTGTTATTAAATAAAGTAAGTCTAGGTAGACTTACTTCAAGAGTAAATGGGTCCTTCCTCTCTCTCTCACTCTCTTTATATATATGTTTACTCTAGGTGTAAGTCTACCTAAACTTATCCAATTCAATAACTCATGTTATACATCAAATTTCAACGATCTAACCGTTGAATTTAAAGTTCTTAATGCATAGATCAAATCTGCAAATTTTTAAAAATTTGAAAACCATTTGATACTTCATTTCATTAATTCAAATCAATGTATAAAATGATTTTATGATTATCCGTGAATTTGAATTAGTGAAATGAGATATCAAATGATTTTCAAATTTTCTAAAAATTTTCATATTTGATCTATGCATTAAGAACTTTAAATCCAACGGTTGGATCATTGAAATTTGATGTAGAACATGAGTTATTGAACGGAGTAAGTCTAGGAAGACTTACTCTTGGAATAAACAAATCCCTCTCTCTCTCTCTCTCTCTCTCTCTCTCTCTCTATATATATATATATATATATATATATATATATAGAGAGAGAGAGAGAGAGAGAGAGAGAGAGAGAGAGAAAGAGAGAGATAGACTTACTCCACTCAATAACTCGTGTTCTACATCAATTTTTAATGATTCAATCGTTAAATTAAAAATTCTTAATGCATGGATTAAGTCTGCAAATTTTTAAAAAATTTGAAAACTGTTTGATACTTTATTTCATTAATTCAATTTAATTGATAATCATAAAAGTATTTTACATGTTGACTTGAATTAATGAAAATGAGTATCAAATAGTTTTGAAATTTTCTAAAATTTTACAACCATAATCTATGCATTAAAAACTTTTAGATTAACGGTTGGACTATTAAAATTTAATGTATATCATGAGTTATTGATTAGAATAACTCAACCATGAGTTATCCTTAGAGTAAGTGGATTCCTCTCTTAATATACATACATAGACACACATATATATGAGGAGGGATCCACTTACTTCAAAAGTAAGTCTTGGTAAACTTATTTCACTTAATAACTCACGTTCTACATTAAGTATCAGCAATCCAATTATTAAATTAAAAGTTCTTAATGTATAGATAAGTCTACAATATTTTTTTAAATTTAAAAATTATTTGATACTTCATTTATTAATTTAAATTGACGAATAATCATAAAAATATTTTACACATTGATTTGAATCTATATAATAAAGTATCATCTGATTTCAAAATTTTAAAATATTTGCAAACTTGATCTATACATTAAAAACTTTTAATTTAACAATTGGATCGTTGAAATTTGATTTAAAATATGAATTAGTAGAATAAGTCTACCAAGACTTACTCTTTGAGTAAGTGAATCCTTTTTTTTTCTCTTTCTCTCTCTCTCTCTCTCTCTCTCTCTGTCTATATATATATTGCATCCTTGACCTTCTTCCTGTCAGAATCTTGTGTGGGTATGCCTGCAATTTGGTTACATCTTAGACCCTCCTCTTACACATGGCAAAGGAATAACACTTAATAACAAAGAAAATTTGTATGAAGGGAAGCAAAAATCTAAAATTTTAATTTTGTTACA